CCCCCCCCCCCCCCAGGGTCATTCCAAGATCTTAAAAAGCCAAAATAACTGGCATTTCCTATAATCATTCTTTTCAATAACACAGAGGTTATTGTTGAGATATTTAGTGTTGTTTTTATTTGACAAAACCATTTAAAACACCTCGTTATTCGTGTTTAGGTTAATACCCACAGTTCCTTTAGGTCCTGCAATAGCCAATCACTGATCACTAACTATTCGTCGTTTACCCCTTCAATCTTTTTTGACATACAGAGGAATTTGGAATTTTATTTGGTGGAACAAAATTACAGAGTTTGTATGKAAGAAAATTGGAATTTCTGGGGTTGGGGGGGTCTTTAAAAAAACTCCTCTGGGAGAGGGGGTATGGATAATTTTTGGAACTACACATATTTTTTGAACATTTATACAGTCAATGTCATTAACGTTGTCCACCAAAAAAGACATTTACACATTTACACATTAAGACTAAAAGAAATATCACGTTTTATTATGTATTCTTTGCCTCGTGTGYGTCAGCCTGAACTTTAAACGTAAAATTTAACTTGTGAATCRAAAATCCAGAATGCCCCACCAATTTGATGAGGATTTAAGATGGAGAATGGTATTTCAGCGTTTGTTTTATGCCAAAACATTCGAGGAAACACGTGATATTTCTTTTAGTCTAAATATCTAAATGTGTAAATGTGTAAATGTCTTTTTTCGGTGGACAACGTTAATGACACCGACTGTATATAATTCATACATTTGTTAATGTTCATTTAGGTTCAGCTATCAGTCCAAGATATAGAGACTATTCTGAATACCCTCATATATGATGGCAAGGTTGAGACTGTTGTAGTGGTTGATAACAAATCCAGCTCTGGCTCTGGACAGAAGACTCTTTATCGTGCTGTTTTCCCAATGATTTCTTCAGCAGGATTGATGAGGACACCATGTGGGGTTTGTCCAGTAAGTAACACTTAATAGTTTGAACTCTATATTTCTAAGGACAAAAAAATTAAGATGGGGATATTGGGTTACCTGTGGTGGTATGGATCAGTCATCCCTGACTTTAGCTGGCAGGTACCAGCAACATTAATTTTATCTTAAATATTGCAGTCTGTTGATATTTTTTCCTATCTCTTTTCCCTAGGTTGTAGATAAGTGTCACGATGGTGCTGCAGTTTCTCCTAAAACTTGTATATACATGAAGGAATGGCTTGATGTGTGAAAACTTTAGTGTCCAATAAATATATTTATAATAATATTATAGTTATGCATGACGAATAAGTATTATTTATTCAAAAGACAAACCCAAGCTTTGAGTGATTTTATTTTCAAAATAACAAAGATCTAACAATATTACACTAGCATTAACATGACATACAGCATCTTCGCCTAATTAAATAAAATATTTGTTTAAAGTGTAACATCATTCTTCTGCGTCCAAATAGGCCTTTCCCAAATTTGCTTGAGTAACCTCAAGACAATGCCTCCAAGTCAAAGTTGGTCTTGATAAAATACAGTAAATGTATGAAAACATCAAGTCTAACCTTAACTTGGGGCCATTGTTACTGGTCACTCAAGGAAATGAATAGTCCCTTTCATAGTTCCCTGCGCCATCTTGAAAAGTAGCCATGCCTTTGCATCGAAGCAAGACGAAAGGCGAGCTTGAAATGATAGACCCCTGGTTAAACACCTCTCACAATTATTCACCTCTCTATCATGGCAAGCTCACCGTTCATCTCTCTTCGATCCAATGGAACTGCTACTTTTCAAGATGGTGCAGGGAACTATGAAAGGGACTATTTGCAAAGGCCTATTTAGTTCTTCATAGTAGAATAAACTTGGAGCTTTCTGCTCATTAAAAATGCAGGATACAATTTGGATTACATTTTAATTTCCATTTTGCCAGTTTGAATAAACATAAGCAACTTGAAACTAGCTCTATTAAACTTATTTTAGTTCTACCATTTATATTTTGTTTATAGAAATGCACCAGGCAACTATCACATATTATGAATACAAAAGATTTGTTTTGTAACAACAATCTTGGTCAAAAAGAGTTGAGAATTTTTCATCCAACCATGAAAGAGTAGAAGTTTCCTTATTAAAACAATTTATTGTCCATACCCCCTCTCCCCCAGGACAATGTTGGTCCCAGTAGGTAAAGCAGCCCTGTATCCCTCGAAACAACATTGTTTTGGGGGGGGGGAGGGGGTCAGTTCGAGGAGAATTTTTCRATGTTTTTAATGAAAATACCATTAATACCTTCTCAACATTTTTGACCAAGTTTGAAGCTAATACTCGATATTCCAATAGGGAAACATAATAAGGTAGTAGAGTGATTTTACTTGGCCCTAGAAACAAACTCTTACATTCAGTAAGTAACAGTCTAAGTGTCTACTACTAAAACTATGTATTTTACTTACCAACTTTTAATGGCCAAGTAAAATCACTCTGAAGAATAGATAAAAAAAATAGAAATATAACTCATGCACTGATTGCGCACTACCATGTTTATATCAGAGGACAGAGACGCGAGCAAATGTGTTTCAAAATGCCTCACATTCTGGGAACTGTACAACACTTGAAAATCAAGAGAAACGCTTGCTTATTTCTTTTGCTCTACAGCTCCCAGTGTGTCTATGTCACAGTACAGAGACGTGCACACATTTTACATGTATGACATTCTAGAGTGAAAACACTATATCTGTGAAAAAGTACTAAGGTATATAACTAGTATTTATTTGTACTAAATAATACTGCTCACCTATAATCTGCAAACAGACTGTATCAAATTGATTTTGCACCAAATTGTACAACATATAATTTATATGGTTACTGCTGTTTCATAGATKAAGTGTTTGCACTCTAGTACTAAGAAAACCACAAAACTGTGGAATAGGCTCGACATTTTTGACAGCCACACCCACCTCTATATGACTGCCTTGCAAAATCAAAAGTGAGCATGGCTGTCATAAGAAAATTTAGGCCTATTTCACAGTTGGGGGATTTTCGTAGTACATATGATTATGATAGGTAATGCTGTTTCATGAACAGTTCATTAAATAATTACAGTATCGAATATAACTTTAGCTCCTATCAAAAAGCACTCTTCTCTTATTGAAAAAGAAATATATTATCCTTTTGATTGAAAGATTTTGGTATTTCATTTGGAAAAAAGAAATAAAATGGGGAATGTGAAGAATGAATCCCTTATCCCTATCATAGAGGCCCTGTTAGGGTAGATTGAGACAAGCAACCTTGCAACAGACTGTTCTAATGAATTATGGACAGCACGTTATTGTTAGGGGTGAAATTCCAACAAGTTAAACAAGAACATTCTAAAAAATTCAACATAGGCAAATGTAAAATTCAGTTGGAGGACATGGCTACCCTCTAATAGGGCCTCATAACTATTTATAGTACAGTTACCCATTTTCCATAAATTGTCGTCCCATTTCCCCCCACCCCCACCCCCATTAAATCCCCAGATTAAAGGAGTAGTATTATGGGATATGATGCTTTAACTTCTTTCATAGACATTGGTGGTTCTCAGACAATCAATGATTGGCTACTGGAACAAATACATTTTTCATTAGATGGTCCTAATCTCTAGTTTATTTATAAAGTTAAAATATGAGCAGCAAATACGATTTAGAATTGACCTTATTTACAATGTTCCCCATGAAGCTTGTAAGCCAAATGATACAACGTACCATGGCAAAACATTTGATAGCAGGTCATATAAATGCTTGCTTGCTTGACAAGCTATCCATGTATGGTTTGACAAGCTCTTTGGTGGCAAAGTTGAATATGAGACCAAATGTGATGGAAATAGGAAGAGCAGGAAGGGCCTTTCTGTAGATAGCTAAGAGTAGCAAAGTAAGACACAGACCCTGCAAGGAAAAAAACAGTACATTGTAAAACTATAAATTACAAAGGTTTGACAACAAACAACACCCACACTCTGCAATTTCAAATATCTTTTTTATCAAGCTCAATTAGCTTCTTAGTCAGTTTACTCTAGGTGACCAATACCATTTTTTGTAAATATGTCCTTTATGATTTTACAATATTATTTTCTTTGTAATTGTTGGTATAAAAGAGGTATATTGTTCTGTATTGTACCAATTGCCAAATATGTGAATGTGACTTGCTCATATTTAAGCATGAGTTTTTTTGTTGTTGTTGTACGTAAAACAAATTCCTTTTTGCCTTTTATGGTAAAATCATAAAGACAGCTGTAGGTTAATTGACAATGCTCACACGTGAAGTACGTAGATACGTAAATCTCAATGGTGTATCCAAAGTGGTTGGTCACAGTGTACCCATAACCCTCCTTTCTAGCTCGAAATTAGTTGGTTAGTATAAACATCATATTTCTTAATAGTCCACTTTACAGTTTCCTGCGCCATCTTGAAAGGTAATGTAGCCATGCCTTTGCATGGATGTGAGATGAACAGTGAGCTTGCAATGATAGAGACATTTTTTAACACCTTGGACAATTATTCATGTCTCTATCATTGCAAGCTCACCGTTCGTCTCAGTTCGATAGCTACCTTTCAAGATGCCACAGGGAACTGTGAAGGGGACTATTGCTAACAACTCCTTTCTTGACTGGAATTAGATGGTTAGAAAAAAATATTGCCAATAGCTAAAAATGTGCATATAACTGATTTTGTGATCCCCCCTCACTACTTAAAATCCTAGATCTGCTAATGATACTAGTCACACATTYGGGAATTACATTAATAATTTTTTTTAGTGTTAAAAAATGGTGTTTGAAGTTTTGCTACTGTATGGCCTCTCTATGCCTCTATTACTTTCATTGATATGATTTTTGCTCTCTGATCAAATCTAACAAAATCAAAACCTTCTGTAAAGAGTACTTACGATGAGGATAGCTACAAAACAGGCTATCGTGGTGTTCCAGTCCTTGTAAGATGATGCCTTACCAACCAGCACGCTGTAAAATATGAAGTCACCAAGACCAAGCTTGACTCCCTCTGCAAATATTAACAAAGGTTCTGATCAAACAATGTACATTAATCATGATGTGTGTCTTTACCTAGGAAGCTGTCAATCAATCTGTGTCTTTGGAGAGAGGGGATGGGGGAACATAACATCTCTTATTCTCATGAAGAGCAGACCTTTTTAGTTTGGACCCAATTTCCCCCCATTTCAGATCATGTGTCATTCTCTATAGTATAATTTCTTTGTTTAATGGTTGCACATGAGAAGACAAATGAATATTGAAGCAACTCAAACTCATTCTCAAGGGAATGCCTAATGGTCTGAAATGGGGAAACATTATGCCCAAGGTAAAGAGGTTTACTCAATGTTAAGTGAACTGCTTTTTAACAAAGACATAAACTGCAGTTGGTAAAACTGGCCATGTACTAACTCACCTTTGATTATGTGCAAACATAAAGTTAAATATTTTAAAATATTTTAATAAATTACAGTAGGATTGATATAAATACAATTTCAAGAATACTGTTATTACTAGCAAACTCAATATTTATTCTAACAGCAACCTGTACTTCACAGACCTTTTCTGAGAGAAAGAAAATGTTGCATTGTGGTCTAGCTTCCGTACAAACATCTTTTGCTCATCATACCTTATATGGCATTGTTTACACCAAAGCTACAATTGGCTAATAAAATAATAAAACCCCTATGCTTGAATTGTAATATTTGTAAAACTTTGCTCTAAAATTTATTACCAGAAACTATAAACCCCCCTCCCGGTTATCAATGTTGTTTCAGCTAACGATTGGTGGTACATGAGCATTTGTCCATTCAATATTGCTACTGTAGGGGGAGGGGGTTGGAAGAGAAAAGCTTCTTTCTATTGGAATTGGGCTTCCTGCATTGTCCAGGTCTCAAGGTATTTTTTGCCAATTGTAGACCACAACGCATCATGTTTTTCAAACTCAGAAAAGGCCTATTAGCACATTGACTATTTTAGTCAGTGAAACACTCATTACTCCAGAAATTTAACCCTTACTTTCTTCTTCTTCTTCATCATCATTATTTTGTGGTGCAGGATCAATAGGATCTCCAAGATTCTGAACAGCACTACGTGCCTCTTCACTCGATGGTCCGTCATGATCAGCAGAAACATTCAGCTGATCCTGTCTTTCAGCTTCATTATCCTGACTTGATGGAGGATTGTCTGGCCTTGGATCAGCCATTCCTACYGTCCACATCATGGTTGCTTTGATAAAAATGTAACAAATAATTTCAATAAATACAATTTATTCTCAAATTTACAGAATATTTAGCTCTTAGAACTAATATCTTCAATAAAAAATATATTAAAAAACACTGATTTTACATTTATATCAAAAATGATAGCAGATAACTGATAATATGCTCTTAATTGGGACCCCAGTTTTTGGAACATGCCTCTTTGGGTAGTCCTGCCACGTTTTAGATGTAATTTTACTTTTCTATTCTTTCATATTATTGGTAATTCATTATAAATGAACAAATGACAAACAAACGAGCAAACGAAAAAATGAATAAATGACTAAATAAATACAATGGAAATGCTTCATTCTAGATGGAGTTTCAAATAACTTACAGGAATAAATAAGAGATGGGAAAAGGGGTTCATCTCTTTCTTGCGCAGTTTGGACCAGGATCTTCAAGGGGCCTTTTGGACACAAAACTGCAAACAAATCTGAAAAATATACAACTCTTTTAATTTAACTTTCACAATACAATAAAATATGTACCTATAGCTGGACAGAATTCAATACAAAATAATTCACAATTCTTAGATAACAGGACATACCGTATAAGGAGATGGCAGCTAAGATTGCCCATGTTGTCCAGTCTGGCAAATATTTGATAAAAACCAGTGCCTGATGAACAGAAATGAAACCAATGTTTAGCTGAAGTTTTTTTCCATGGCAGTTTTTAACAGAGCAAATGGATACAAGTACAGTATATGGCTGTTTAAATATTTCTAGTGGTGGGTTTAAACTTGGTATTTTTTGCTGCCATTTAATAAAAGTTAAAAAAAAGAGATTGCAATGGACAGCTGCAGTATAAAATGGTTAGTAGTCTTGCTAAAATATGACCATCTAGGTTATATCATTGAAAATCAGGCAAATCTTTAATACCAAATGAGTGTGGTCAATGAGATTAAGTCAAGACTTAAACTTACCATCAAAGCACTGACAAGAATAAGATATGCTTGCTGCAACAGCAAAGGTCCTTTCCAATGGATACATATCATTCCTACCACTCCAAAGTTCCAGAGGATTATAGAGAGTGTAAAATAATCCATTGGAACATTGTAGACTTTCAGTAATTCTCTAGAATTGGGAAATAAAACCATGTTAGCCAGGGCCTTAAGTTACAAGTGTGCTAATTAGAGTCTTTTGTGTTTGAGGCTTTTACAGTTCAACTACTGTAACTGGGGCCACTTAGACAGTTAGACAAGAGAACCAATTAAAATGCAGAATGAAAACAATGCATTCCAACTTTGGGTAGTAGAGCCAATCAGAAAAATAGACGTCTGCATGAGAATTGTAATTTGTTTAATTTGTAATTTGAATTGTAATTTAATTTGTAATTGTAATGAAACCCTAGTGTTTCATGTAAACAATTAGATAACAATCATCATTTTCTCATGGAAATAAAAGGATATGTTGAAAAGCTATTGTTTTCTGCTGAATTCTGATTGGCTCCACTACCCAAAGTCAGAATTTATTGCTTTTATTATACAATTTGATTGGTTCTTGCTGTCTAAGCGGCCCCAGTCATAGTAGTTGCACTGTAAATTTCTGATGTAGTGGTATATTAAATTTATCACAATAATAATAAACTTGAGACTTACTGGAAGTAAATGTATCCAAAAAAGAACAGAAGTAACAATGATGAAACTACCAACCAACCAGATATGATCTATAAAAAGGACAATGAAAAAACAAAATGTAATTATACAAGTCATGTATAGATCATAGTTACCATATGAGGCAACCGGACTCAGGACTATCATACTACATCAAGGGGAGGGACAGGAATTCAACAAACTTCAAGGGGGGGTCATTTTTTATGCGGACAGAAGAAAGGGGTGCTAAAGATTGTACATTCCTGTTTATATGGATTCCTCTAGCCCACCCACCATCCTAAAACAGAATGCTCCCTAAAACGAAATTGGTAAGCAGTAACTCAGTAAAATTTCACTTGCCATTCAATTTTCTTTTGGCACTACCTTTAAAAATATTTTTGCCTCCCACTATTATCAATATTTGGCTTACATATTGGCTATTGGCAGCCTGATATATTGAGCCCTGGGTGTTCATTATGGACTTGAGATTATTTTAGGAAAGGTGACAAGAAAATAATGTGTTGAACCTAGGATGATGCTATCAACAACGTTTTTTTAAAAAAATTGTTCAGCTTTAGAAAGCAGGAAATTCATGTGCATTAATTTCCACAAAAAATTCACTATTTTTAATAAGTGAAACATTATTCTGCTAATCCACACAAACTAAGATAATTTGTGTCTAGATATGTGCATATAATAGTACTTTTAGTGTCAATCTTTCAATTCAGCTCATGAAGATCAACAAAAAGATGGAAAGAAAAGCCACAATTTGATTGATATCAGTGTCCTATCTAATAAAGTTTCAGCTGAATCCTATACTTCCTAATATAAAGTTTCAGTTTTCACCTTCATTTCCCGCCCTTCCTGCTATTGATACCTAACAGGAAAACTGGATGTTCTACTAGGTCTACTTTGGTGAAAATAAATCAGTATACTTACACAATAGCACCTAAACTTGTATAACACTACTAATATGATGGTCAATACTAGCACCACTCCAATGACTATAAATGCATTCGCAATAGCTTCTCCTGCCTTGCGGGCATTACTGATGCCTTTTTCTTCATGAAATGGTGTGTAAACTCTGTGGAGTGACAAAAGTATGGCAGTTATTTTTGATTAGTGAAAGTGAAAATGTAAAATTATGGCAATGACAATTTACTGTCTTGAAATACTTAATTTTTACAAACTTCAAATTTGCCAAACTTTTATGTATTTTTTATGAGTTTTGTCAATTACTCATTTGTGGACCTAGGGAGTTCCAGACATATGATTTACTGCATTGCTTTATGTCCATCAAGTTAGGGGGATATTAGCCAGAGATTTATGGTTAACTGTGGAAATAAATAGAGATGCTAAAATTTGTACAAATACTAAATCAAAGCCAGTAACAAACTATATTTTGGCTTTCAGTTTTCAGAAAAAAAACCTAGTAAAATTATGAAAAGTTATGAAAAACTGTTATCAACTTACAGATAAGTGCCGTTGTTTTCTGTGTAATATGTGACTGATGAAATAGTGGCAACGACAACTAACATACACGTAGATACAGGGATGATAAGCATAAGCACACTACGTGCTCCATATTTAAGCATCTCCTCTTCATCTTCATCTTCATGATCATCTTGAAGTCCCTGCTGTCTATCACTACTAAGACGTCGCCTAGTGATTGTTGGTTGACCAAGTTCTCTATCAGTATTCATATCATCATCATCACCATTGTCATTCTGATTCTGTAGATTGATGTCAATGTATCATATCATTAAGTTTTAAGGAAAAGGGAAACAAAGAAGCTATCACATTTGTTACCAGATTTTAAAAAAAGTATTCATGTAGATGTTGTTTAAAAATAGTTTAAGATGAAATTATCTTTCGTTATGGGTCGAGTTATAATTTTTGTTGATCAAATATAAGTCATTATCATCGAGTTAACAGGTAAAATTTATGGTCATATGAAGAAGGTTTGGGTAAGTACTTGGTTCTGTGAGTGATACTTAAATGATTAATACATAAAACTGTACGGTACTGTACACAGAAAGCAGGACGTGAACCGATAAAATGGATGGCAAATGGCTATTAAAATGGCATGATTTCATGTGACGGACAAGAATGTCCAGCTCATCTTCTTCAGTCAACCATCCTTCCATAAACACTTGGAATAATCTATCTGATTAAGGTTTATTAAAAACTAAAGTTAAGATAAATCCCTTAGAATTTAGTCAAGTAAACCGAAGCTGAAAAGCTCTGTTCGACATAATCAAAAGTGATGATGACTTTACATTCAAAGTGAACAAGATTGTTTCCTCACCGAAGTAGAACGACGGTTGCTTGTTGGGGTCCCTCTCGGCGACCTCTGTGGCGAATCGTTAGTCATTAGTCTCGTTGTTTCATCCACATCTGACTCATTCATTTGACATTAAAGTATACGGTATTCCCCGTGGATAAAGAGTATTTTTTTAAACCTAATACCTAAACTCTTACTCTGTTCCTGATCTTCAAGTGGTCATGGGGGAAATAAGCCTTGACGTCATTGTTGACACCCTCCCCATTCCTTTTCGTCAATTAAACAAAGGTAACCCAAATGCCTAGAGAAAATCACACAAACACACAGCAAACCCAAGCTATGTTTTTCCTTCTGCGAGGTAAAAAAGGAGGAGAAAAAGGATGACAAATTTCTGGTTAAAAACCAACAGTTTTTCCAATTTCGCCCCTAAAAATGGATTGACTTACAATTTCATCCCCTGAAAGATACACCAATCAACCTGCTGAGTAACAACCCCACCCCACCGGAGACCGGAGGGCTGGAATATTCTCTTTCTTTCAAGTCAGATGCAATTTAGATTGTCAAGTCCAGGAAATCTCAAATTTGAATCACTGATCTAATTCTGTAATATAGCTCCTGTACTAGTACCAGATACCGCTTTGGAACACAGGGAGCCCAATTTAGATAAAAATGAATAACGAATATTATCGTATTGAATTGAGTTCAAAATGTCCTCTGTACTATGACGAGCACAAAAATCAATCAAAAATGCATGCATCTGAACATCTTTTGTGTGTGTCCCACGTCATAGTCATGATTGGTTAAGTTTTTTTCTGTGGTTTGAATGCTCAGAAAGATTGCATGCCTCATGGATGTACCAGCCTATAATGAAACTTGCAGTGGTGGAACTAGGGTGATTAAAGGGAGGGCAGAAATGCTGCCCCTATTTAATCATAAATTGACTGATACATAAAATTAAACTTTAGAATTTCATTTGGTTAAATTATATAACCTGATCCTATTTTACATCATGATAAGTGTTTTAAATCCAATGATGACTTGGCTATTTACTGGGTTGCCTGTGGCAGCCCACTCGTAAAATGCCTTTTGTTTTGCTTTTTTTTTTGTCTTCTTCTTGCGAAAAGTACATTCTTGCATAAGAGAACCTATATATGGATTTGAATGACATGTTCATAGATTGATGGCTCATAGATTGGCTTAGCAGCTGAGGATGTAATTCTGGGCTTTAGAAGTAATATAATTGAGCAGATCAAAGAAGATTTCTAAATCGTAATTCAGATATTTATTAGTATTAACACAGCTGCACAGTCAGCAGTATTCTGGCATCAATCATGTGGGTTAGTATAGCCTAAAGGAAAATACGGCTTTCAGTCTTTAGTTAATAAGGTATATACATAAATATATCTAAAAATACTACGTGGTAATAGAGCTGGTAACTTCGGCCGTAAATACTTTTCGCTAAGTTTAATATAATATATTTATTTCATCAGACGCGACGAGTCTTAGTCAGGTCAAAGTCAGGTCAAGATTCTTGTGTAATTCAAGATATAGAGTATATTGAAATTTAGTGGTGTCACTAACGCAACGTTGTTTTCTCCGTCTACATAACCTCATCAATAGTGTTGAAGTTCTGGGGAAAAAAACTACTAAAATGTTCCAAACTACTCCCTCCCTCAAATAGCAGTATCATGTATCTAAGATTAGATGTTAAATAAGCTCCAGCATACCTGCACATCAGGCATCCCAGTGCACGCTCCAAGAGCATCTCGTTATAGTCTTAATCACAATCTCAGTGTGCTGGAATCCCGTACTTAACTTAGTGTTTTTTTTAAATACTTAAAGAACAAAGCAAATGGGTGACCTTGTGTTGGTTTAGGATAGGTTTATGAAAACCACTCTATTATTCATAATTTATTATGAACACAAAATGCAATTCCTTTTTTATCAATATCCTTCCTTTTATTTTCTATTTTACAATATAGTTAACAATCAACTGTATAGTTATGATATAGCCTTTAGAGTGGTTTTCAAAAACCAGTGAAACAAAGTGTAATAACTAAGCTGTAATAAATTGTAATACACCGAAAACACAAAAGAAAAAGAAAATGAAATAAAAGAAAATAAAGTGTATTAAAGCGTAATACGCTGAAGTGTGTTTCACGGGTTTTTGAAAACCTCTAAAATCATGTTATACACTATATTTACAGTTTACATTAACTGTTATATCACCTATAAAATTAATATCTAAATAATTTTTCTGTTGTGAAATCCCAAAGGAAACAATCAATCAATCATAAATCATTCAACTTGATTAATGTGTCTAAAATCTTCTAGCGTTCCACAAGTGGTAACACTATTCCACAAGTGGGGACACCTTACATCCAACAAAGAAACAAATAAGACATCAAAATAATAATACCCTTCAAATATTACTCCTCGCTTTGCATGCATTTGTGACCCTAAAAGCTTTCTGAGGACTTGGTTTCTGGGGTTCTGTCTATCAAAAATTACTCATTGACTGTTGCAAATTAGATGGTGGAAGCCTGCTCAAGTAACATGATGTGTATGCTGCTGGAACATGAAAAGTAATCTAAAAACACTGTATGAAGAAGTTTGCAACTGTACTGATGTTTCGTTAGTTCTTCCTGAAAGTAGGTTTTTTTGTTTTATTCCAGAAATGGACTAATATGGACAACAAAATGACATAAATTGTCACCCAACATGTTTGCCTTGCTTATATTACTATTTCACATGCAACAAATTTTCAATCATTGCATGAAGTAGAAACTCTCTCTATTCTTTGCAGCATGAAACAATTGCCGCAAAATGAGCAACATTTGCTCTACAGTTTCAAACGGAACAATATTACATGACAAGTTGTGTAATTTTGTAACCAGTATTATCACACCTTTGTCCAAAACGCCAGCCAATATATAAACACAATCCCAGCTAGTAAACCTATGGTAAGTAACTGTTTTAAAACTAAATTCTTTTAAATTGTAAGGGTAGTACTCCAATGGCTGTTTAATGTGTGCAATGAATGTGGTTTATGAGAGATATTAGATAAATTTTAAATGATTTCATGCTTTTTGAGGTTCTTCATGGCTGGTTTCTGCAGCTTTGATCAAAAAAGAAAGAAAAATTAATTAAATTTAGGAATTAATAATAAAACAGAAATTTGTGTTTATAAAAACCGTCAAAACTTCTTTAAATACTTTTTTTTTCAATTTGGTACATTAAACAATATTTCAAAACAGCTAAACTCTTAGTTTATTCATTTACCAATTCGCCAATGATTTCTTACTTTTAAGTACACATAAGCCCTATGCTTTTGTGATTTGAAAGCCCTCAAAATATAAATAAGAATAGCGTTTACTATTCTTTGGTATCTCTTTTCTTTGCTGATATATCTTAGCAACTATATCTCTAGCTAATATCTCAGCAACTAAAAGAGATAGCAAAGAATAGTAAACATCATTCTTAATTACTTTATGATGGCTTTCAAATAATGGAGGCATCCTGTAGGATCCAATGCACTTTAAGTAATAAGGTTTTTTTGCATGTTAAGCACAGATTGGAACATAAAATGTGATATAAGTCTTATCTTAAAAATCAACCAAGCATGAAAATAATGTCTTTTGAAAATAAAGGATTTCGTTGAGAGGTAACTTAATAGCTACATGAGTAAGACAGAACATTTACAAGACTAATTAGATGTAAATTATAACGCTTTGTGTAATATCTTATTATTGTTACTTTAAGTTAAAATGCTTTACAATGTTATATCATTTGATGTGAGAAAGAAGATGATCTCCTTAACAGACCACATGCACAGCTAAAACTAATTTAAATCTTTTCTATCATTTTCCTCTTTTATTTTTCATTTTTCAACTGGGCTGAAACATCTTTTGGTGAATTGTTTGATTTGCTGTTAACTGATTAGTGAAGTCATTATCATTACTAATAATTAGTTTTTTATTATTATCGAAACATTGTATCCTACAGCAGAATAGCTGATAAAATTATAAACAAATAATAATAAATCATTATATTATATTGATCACATTCTAGTTTATTATTTTGTAAGTCATTATCTAGTATGAAAATCAAACCTTTAGTGACCACCAAATATAAGGGCATCACTATTGTATCAACATTTGTAACTTAAAGCATTGTGAAACTAAAAGTGGAGTGTCATAATGTAAGTCTACACACCTGCATGACCTTTTTGTTCAGGAGGGATTTTACCCTCAGGCTTTTGAGTGTTGTCCACAGGATTATGAGAATACAAAACTGTTGCATAAGAAACTATTGCAATTGCTATAAAGGTTAACAAATTAACTGGGATTCCAAAGATGATCCAACAGAGTACGGCTGTGAACATGAGTTCTAAGGCACTTGCAAAGGTTTTAAGAATGGAGTTTAGTCTTTTCAGGAAGAGGGAAGTGACTATACCAATAGCAGCGTTATTAAAAATGATTATCACCACCTTAAATGCCATGATGGACATCAAACTTTCTTTGGTAAAAGCCTCCTTGAGGGAACCACCATATATCAAGACCAGAATGTTACAAATGATAGAATCAATATACATGTAAACATTCTGAACCATGATTGGTGCTTCACCACTCCTTCCTTTCAGCAGGTATTCATTATAAACACCTGCAAAACAGGAGCAGAATACTTGGACGAGTATCAGGACTAAATTGTAGTCCAGTTTAAAGGATATGCCATCGGATTGACCACTAAAGTTAAGTTGCTTGATTATGCAACCAATCGTCAAGAGTAAAAGTGAAATCCACTGTGACCGACTTAGCTGTTTGCTGAACAGGATCTGGAAGAAATTAAAAAGGAGGAAAAAGACAAAATGAAAATTAAACACTTTACGGTATTATTGCTTTGAAAGTATCAAATAAGACTGATTAAGACATTCATTTTATATCTAGCATCTTGACACTATGTCAGGGACAGTGGAAACAGGGGGCTGATGGGGCTATAGCCCCCCCCCCCCCCATTTTTGTGAAAATTACATTTTTATTTTGTCTAATTTTTAGGTGTGTGGGAGGAGAGGAGGAGGGGCTGTAGCCCACCCCCCTCCCCCCAACCCTCTTCCTACTTAAAAACTGTTCTGCCATCACTGTATGTTTAAGATTTATATTTCTTAACTTAGAGAGTGGGACATTGGGTGGTACTAAACCATAAACAAATTGGGCAAAAACCACAATACCATGTCAAAAATCAATGTTAACTGCAAAATGCATTACAAACTTCACACTTTTACTCAAATTCAGCAAAAACTAGGGAAATAAAGGAATCTGTGAAGATAATAGAGTACCAAAGTAATGATGTCATGAAATTTTAAAAAAAGAAAGAAATTTAGGATTTTGGTGTCATTATCAGAAACTGCATGCAAAAATATGATATAGTTTGAAATTTTAGACCGATGGAGCAAAAAATGACTGAGATATAGGTAATTTAACACAAAAACATCCCCACACATTTTCTCTTAGTTGAGGCTGGATCTAATGTGATTGGTTCCAGTCCAAAATTAGAGAAAAGGTATGGGGATTTTTGGAGCTTAAATTCCCAATATCTTCATTTCTAATGCTCAGTTTGATGACATCACACTTTGGTACTCTATTGGATATCACTGAAAACTGTACCACTTTCTCACAAAAACATGTCGAAAGTCTACCAAAACCAGGTCAAAAATGTGCCAAGACATAAACCCCCAATGACACCCTTCTTAGATAAAAAACATTTATTAAATATATTTTTAGTAATATGTGAAAGTATGTTTTTATTAGGGGTGCCGAGCCGTAGCCAGACCAAAATGTCTATTGAGGCAAAAGAGTGGCAAAGGGGGAAGCAAATAGAATTTTGAAAGAGAACCTTGGAAATATGATTTTATAGAGTAGAGGGACATTTGTGAAAATATTTACTGAGGCAACTGCCTCATTTGTCTCATAGTGGCTACTGCGCTGGGATGGAAGATGGAGGAAGGTTGGGGCTTCAGAGGGGAGGATCATTTACAAAGATTTTAGCTTTTTTGGAGGGTCACACCTTTTTATTTTGATGAAAGCTTTTCCTTATTCAATTAATATTAAGGAGGGATCATGAATTTTTTTATTGAATAAAATGTGGATGGCTACAAACTCACCCATACCTTCCCTACATGGATTTTGCTTGTATATCAATGTAAAGCAGATAATCTAAGCTCTTTTTAATAGTTAGTGCATTTTTTAGTGTCACAGAGTCAATGTGCAGTCTGCTTCTATGGCAATTATTATTCTCAACAAGAATTTTTAAATCAAGATATATTTGTTTTTTGTTTTTGCCAATTTGATTTGACTTAATTAAAGGAATAGTTCATATATTATATGATAACCTAGGTGAATGTTTGTAATAAAATAGCACATTTTAGGATTCCAAAATACAAACCTGAAAGATTACACCAGTTACCACAACACGGAACTGTAGTAGAAGATAATAGGTGGTCGGGTCATATGCACCAAGGTTCACAAAAGCCAGATTGTTGTACAAACAATACAGAAAAGCTGGGATCATGTACAGCACAAGTACTGAAGAGAAGAGCAATATTTGGCCTCAACAACTTAGAACTTGATATTAAAAGCTTTACTCATGGTTTAAAAAAGAGTTTATGCCTCCTCTATGGGTAAAATATCTTTAATTTTAGAACCCCTTCCCTCAGAATACTAAGTCCTCTCTTTATCAATAAATAATGGGAAATTTGAAAGAAGAACTCACAATACTCAGGGGTACTACAAAGGGAGTTGAAAAGGTTGATTCAAAATAATAAATGATGGAAATATATAAGCTTATTTAAACTAATCAAAAATATGTTAAAGCCACACCTTTTATATGTTCTCTGATAAGACCAAAAAATTCACTGATGGTTGACCTACAAGAAAGCAAATGCATCAATGACAATTCCAGAAGGGGTTCTTTTAGTTTTTAGGTTAAGCCTAGAACTCACTCTCTGAGTTGAAGAAAACATGCCACAAAAAGCTTCAAAATTTCAGTGAATAACACAACGGTAGTGGTATTGTAGTGGTATCTGTTATTCTTGTCCTTTGTAGCAGTTACAAGGATACCTGTACAAATGAAGGAGAAAATAAGCTGTGATGAATAAAACTCGAACCCGTCTTGGGCTACAGCCATATCTTGAAATCTGGAAATGTTTTTGACTCGCACCTTGATTGATGAAGAGACCCATATAACCAATGAAAATTAGGAAGTGAGTCTTGGTGGGGAAGAGATTTTTAAGGTCCCCGACAGAAACATTGAAGATCTGGAAAGCCATGATTAAAAAATGCCTTGTTGCACGTATCCAATTGTTGTTTTTTTGCAGCTGGATAAAGTGAATGTACAAGCGTGGCAAGAAGTCAAGGAAGCCCAACTGAACTCAACTGAATCGAAGCGATAGCCTACTTTTCTCTAATCAATAACTGATCGGGCAAGGTCAAGATTCTTGGTATGCATTTGTTGCAAATGATCTGTAATAGCAAATACAATGGAAGTATAATAAAATACCCTCTAGTTTAAGTTTTTTGACTTGTTATTGAATAAAAAGAAGATTATATTTTAAAAAGGGTTAAGAAATGGATAGTAACGGCTATCAATCGATAATTGTTCGTTCCTTTTCGCTTTGCCAGCTTCCTCGTTCCAGTCTACTCTCGGTAACTATTTTCCGTTGCCTCGCAACAGACACGAAGAGAAACATTTTGTAGTTCAAGATGGCAGCCGAAGTTGCAGCAGCTCTTGGCGAGAAAAAACGAGTTAGAGTCTTTATGAACCACGTAGATTTATACACAGGCAAGAATATTAGTAAGGTATGGTACCTTTGGCTTGTTTCTTTGTCTTTTTCTATTAAAATCGACTATCTCACCTCGCTTTGAACGTTTGTTGCATGCTTGTTGATGACGAGAAAGAAGAGAAAGAATAAGAAAGATAAAAAGAAATGAGGAATAGTACTAGATTAATCATGATAGTGGTGATATACTTTTATTGTAGTGGCTTTGCGCAAGAGTTTAAGTATGAGGGTAACTTTTAGTGAAAGTGGCTTTCAGTYACAGTATATAAACTTACATAGTTTAATACAGTATAAAATAAATTTAATTTGCGCAAGAGTTTAAGTATGAGGRTAACTTTTAGTGAAAGTGGCTTTCAGTTACATTACATAAGCTTACATAGTTACAGTATTGAAATAAATTTAATTTTCTCATGTATTGTCATTATCGCAATATCGTTATCAGTTATTGTCACGCTCAGTGGTGGGTGCTACCTCAGAAGAAGACGTAAATGATGAAGAGTCTGTTGCTAGTGGAGCACCGCAAGTTCCAAAAGATGAATGCTACCAAATAGTTGGTACTCTGCATGATTCAACGAAAACAAAACCTGAATGGGTAGATGAAACATTTGAGGTAATCACTGTAACACAAACATGCAAATTGGTTATTGGTAATATCTATGATAGTATATGATAAATGTATTTATAGCAAGAAAGGGAAGTATAGAATAATTTGTCACCAGCTGAAAGAAACTCAAGAAAAAAATTAGAGTTTCTGATAGGAATCAAAGCCATGGCCTTGAATGTATATGTTGTATGATTTAATAACACCCTTTCTATGTACATACTATATAGTCAATGTCATTGATGTTGTCCAGAGAAAAAGACATTTATACCACAATAAATGTCTTATGTCCAATGATAATGACATTAACTGTATATACTCAAGAGTGCTTTCATTCATGAGATGTGGTTTGTATGAGAGTACAAACTGAGGGTGGTCACTGCCAGGACGCCTTTACTTCTGAGATGGTTCATTTACCTCTCCAATATTGGTTGATGCAGCTGAATAACAGTGTGAGAGAAATAGGACTGACATTTAAAGTCATCATGAGCCACTTGAAAGTCTAACCATTTGTAGTTGTAAGGCAGCACTTTGTTTTATCATAAGTCCCACACAGCAGTCTGTTTATTAATATACCCACTAACATAATTGGATAATCTTAAGGTTTTAGAGGCTGTCTTGCTCCAGTGCTTCTTGATCATAGATTTTGTCATCTCTTATTATATCTGAGTATCTCTCATGATAATAAAATCTACAACCAAGGAGCACTGAAACGAGAGTGGAACCCAGGGTGCCAATTAGATGTTGGTAAGCTGAAACACAGTTGACACAAAACAAGCATATAGGCCATGATCAATATTATTCACCTGATTTATTGAATTCATTATAATCACCATTTGGAATTGCAAAAGTCAAGCTTTTTAGAATTCCTTGATTACCTGGTATGAATATGGGGGGGTTCGTTTGATCCCCCAAGACCACAATGAAACCCCCTAGATAACAACTACTAACTTCCTAATTATATCATCTTGATAGTATTGAACCACCTTTAAAGACAATTACTATGAACACCCTAATTAGAAGTTGGAAGTGGCTTTTTACTTCTACACAGTAAAAAAATCAAAGATTGACCTTTTTAATTGATTAACCAAACTACAGTTTTTTTAGTTAACTTTTAGTTAGCCAAACTACATTTGTTTTTCTTTCTTTATCATTTTTGGTTAGCCAATCTTTAGTCGTATTTTTCTTCTTTTTTTTTTTTTTTGGTTAGCAAATCTATAGTCAATAATCTATAGTCTTTTGGTTAGGCTGTCAGAAATGTACAGCCATAGTTTAATATTAACCCCCTAGCCTAAATCCTAGACCTTCCACTGGTTACAGACCTATTTAATCAGGGTTATAATCCCATTTCAACATCAAAATATTCACAGATCCAATGCTACATATAATAAAAATTGAATACTCTAGAAAACGTTTTATGAGCAACCGGATACTTGCATTGTTTTTAAAATTATGAATTTCCTTGAGTACTTTTGGAATTCCTAAACTAAGAATTGAAAACTGTAGGAAAATAAATTTTTTATCTCTATGGAAATAACGTTTGGGCACCTGATACTACCTGTAACTTTAACTTAAGTGCAGTATTTTATATATGTCGGTTTCGCTTTGTTCAACAATTTTTAAGATAGGCTCCATGCTTTCTTTTAGATTTTTCACTGTGGCTTCTAGGGATTCAAGGTTGCGACGGGACTTTTTCGCGTTCTCGATATTGTTCTTGAATCTTTCATACAGAGTGCTCAGCTTCGACGTTTGATTCTCTTTCAACTCTGCATTCAATTGGGCTAATTCTCTAGCAAGCATCACGCTCCATATTACCTTCAGATTTCCTTCTTCCAACGCATTTGGCACATAGATGAAATATTTATTTCGGTCTAGGGAGATTTCAAACTTTCCTCTCAATGACCGTCTTGCGATGCCGCTCTCCAATGAAAGCATAATTCCAACTTTAGCTTCGGGAAAATGATCCACCACTAGCTTTTCAAATTTTGCAATTTCTTTTTTCGCCACCGGACTCTTGAGGTTCTTAACTTCAACGGGAAATTTCTCTTCTTCAGGAGTGGTAACAAGCACATCTCCTGAATTTCCAAATGTGGCGGTGTGCTCTACGGTAAAGTTAGGAAATGCTTCTTTTATAATAGTTAGGACTAACCTTTCTCCCATGGAGCCTTTGGTTTTTGGTTTTCCTAGAGCTTGTACTGATATGTCGATCTTCCTCACTTCTTCGATGATATCTGTTTTAGAATCGTTAATCTTTGTATTGAGAGAATCTAGTGGTGGCACCTTGTCAGCCACTCCACTGACATTAGTGACTAAATCGGTTTTGAGATTTGTCAATTCGCCGTTTACATCTTGCTTGAATTTATTTACGACCTTCGTCATGTCCAGTATGTTGTCACTGACACTTTTAGACACGTTTCTTTCGATGTCTAGCACCTTTTGGTTTACTTGCTCTTTAATACTGGCCACTGTTGCTTGAACCTGCTTCATTTGTACATCAAGTTCAGATGCAAGCACTTGTTCAAGGTGTTTTTGGTTCGAGCTAACCGTCATTTGAAGAGACTCTCTTACCAAGACTCCTATTTCAAAGACCTTTTCTAGTTCCTCATCAGTAAAGCTTCTTATCGACTCAGGATACTTAGATAAATGGAGCGTAATTGAACGTTCATTCGCTCCCTTTTCTTCCTTGGGTAATCCCATTCCTTGCTCTGTTTTTTGTTTTTTGGTACTAGGCTCGTCAGCCATAATTTTTTATCCTAAAAAGAAAGCCCGCTCTCGCCCGCTTTTAGGTGTCGGTCTTGTTTCTCGGAAAAAAGGGAATTACTGTAACGGCTGCTTATTGCAGCCAGACATTCCCGCCATTTCAATTGTTTGAGTTAAGCCAATCGCAGACAGGCCCGTTCCCGTGACTGGTAACTCTAACCCGCGCGGAGCACCATACAAAGGCGCCAGGACAGACGGATTGGGTTTTAGATGTATGTGTGATTGTTTCAGTTATTCTAATCTTTCTGGTTTGAATCAGCTGTACGTACGCTCTGAGTATTTACCGCTACTATCCGTGCCAAGCAGCGCCGGCGTCACTCCGTACTGAAGGTAAATTTGATTAACTTATTAAAGGAGAGTAATCGCTAACGAAGCGACGCCGTCGCTGCTTGGCACGGATAGTGCAGCGGTAAATACTCAGAGCGTACGTACAGCTTATTCAAACCAGAAAGACCGTTGGTGGACGTGGTAAATATATTCATATCGCACGCTGATTCAAACCAGAAAGACCGTTGGTTGGAACGGACGGTTATTTTTTAAAGATAAGTGAGCACTATTTAGTATCCATTTTATAGAAACAAACATATATCAATTCAATCAGAATAACTGAAACAATCACACATACATCTAAAACCCAATCCGTCTGTCCTGGCGCCCTTGCACAATACTACCAAAACAGGTAGAGCGTGGATTTGACTCGTCAAAGAGCGCTTGTTGTACCATAGGGAACCAGGCTTTAGAATTTGTACATGAATAAATAAATCAATAAAGTGCTTTATTGGAATTCCTGTGTTGAGATTTGAAACAAGACACTGATATCGCAGGTAGCCCAAACTTGGTTTCTGTGGTGTCCGGTTATAAGGAAATGTATGGAGATTCATCAAAAGTTTTAATAAAATAATCTAAACGTGAAATAAAGCCTCGAAATTTTACCCGATCATTGAGAAATAGCACTTCTTTCGCTCTGCGTGATTATTTTTTGAAATTAGCCCGTTTTAAGGATTTTTCTTACTGGTGGGGAAAAAACTCTTTTATTAAACCACATTTTGTTGTGCTCCGCTTTGTTCAGTTGAGTCAATTGATGACATTATGAATAATTAAGGAAATAGATAAATAAATAAGTAAATAGAAATACACTCTACTTAGATACAATTGTTTTTTCAGTTTCGAAAATATCAATTTTAGCTGTTTAAATAGAAAAAACGTCATATCTCACTCGCAATGCATTGTAGGATGTTAGTGGATCCTCCTCTGGTGCCACCCCCCACAAAACCACACAGTTTGCCAAACCATAAATTATGAATGGTCCCGGAGGTCAAATCCAGCCTTGTAGGATGAATTGACGCCATTTCAAGGAATTTTAGAATTACACTCCATGCGAACGGAAAATGACTGAATCCAAAACCGATCTCATAAGCATATCACTGCATTTTAAAAATCTGTATGCAATATCGACGAATATCAGATGATGATAACTTTCCGAAGTGATATCCGTCCAAAATTATATGAAAAAGGAAATATGTGGAAAAGGCCCTCCCACGGTGTTTAACTAAAATTCAGAGAATCCCCCCCCCCCCCTATTTTGTTGCGCTACCTGTAGATTTTTGCGCCAAAGCGCGTTGCCTCGCCCTTTCCTGGTACTCTCGCTACGCCACTGATAGACAATAAACAAACGGGCTGAAGAAAGCTTTAATTGCGCGGGAGATGTCTCTTTCAGCCTCTAATACCCTACTTTTTGTGATAAGTTTGCCTTTATTTGACATTTCAGTACAAAAATAAAGAAGAACTATTACCGTTCCTGCTTGCATGTGACATTATTGTATATGATATTAATGGACAGCCAGATCAAGTAGACGAGGCAACATGGGCCGTCTCAGGTAACTTCACATTCAAATCAAAGGCCATATTTTTTTTGATTGGATAGATTGTAACTGAATGTCATTTTTATTTATGTGAATTTTGTTATATTATCCAACACTGAATGCGGCAATAACTTTCGTAGTTTTATTCCCTTGAGAATGCGGGTTGAAGACTAAGGCCCCGTCCACACGTATCCGAAAATTTTGGTATCCGCAAATTATTTTTTGCGGATACGAAAATGTTTGCGTCCACAAATAGCGTATTCGAATCGTTTTCACCGTCCACACGTATCCGTTTTCGTAAAATTTGCGGATACGGATACAAAAATTTGCGGACACGTGTGGACGCAACCCGTATCCGCAAAAAAAAATTTGCGGATACAAAAATTTCCGGATACGTGTGGACGGGGCCTGAGCTGATTTGGTATTTGTATAAAAATCTCGACACTGCTTTGACGGTAAAGAAATGAAATTGAAAAAGTCTTTTAGTAAATCACACAACGCGGCGTTACTATGTCACGCCCGTACCGTAAGTTTTTAACATGTGGTCGACATGCTCTGATATAACTTGGATTCAAAATACCCTTTCTTATTCCTTAAAAATTTTATATTCCTTTATTGAAACAAAAATTATTTTGTGTTTAGCTCTTCATGCAGAGCTGGAGAATTTTAAAGACCTAAAACTGTTCATTTGCTTGTCTACCGTGATGACTTGGGCGCGGAGTAAACCATTGGATCCCGTGAGTACAAATTTATTCTTGTATGAATAGACTAGGAGGTAGGGATTTGAAGACATCGGGACATCGCACATGTACTACATATTTGATTTATTGATGGTTTTCACGCCGGCCATGTTGGAGGACTTGATAGTTGATAGTCCCACGCCTTAGGAACATTTTTAGGCATTATGTACTAAAATAAATTTGGAACATCATCATTCTAGGGGTAAATTGTGAGTACAAAGTGTTGTTATGATGATAGCAAAAACTGACCGTTGATGCTAGCTACATTTCGCAAAATCTCCACTGATTGCTATTTGTATAACAATCGGTTATACACTTGAAGCTGACGTGCGCAGTGGTTGTAAGAGGGAATGTCGCTTAAGGAAACAATAAGACTTGCACACCAACGATCAGGCGGATAAAAGGACGATAAAATCAATGAAAGATCATTTGTGCCACTTATCATGGATACTATTATGGTTTTACGTTATCGTAGGACGACCCAGAGATCCCATTTACTGAAGATGACTACAGACGTCGCCGTGCCCACCCAAACTTTAAACCCCACATCAGCGCAGAGAAGCTTGTTATCAAATTTGGCAAGACAAACAAAGCCAAGTTTATAACCTATGTGGTAGCGCCTGGATTAACGTATGGCGGCGGGGAGGATATTTTTCATTTCCTTTTCAAAACCGCTTGGCATGGCCAGGCACCAGCTCTGCAGTGCTTTGGAAATGGCGACAATATTGTACCAACTATTCACATCAATGATTTAGCTAGTGTGGTGGTGAATATATGTGACCAACATCCTAAGGTCAGGTACATGGTGGTCGTAGATGAGTCCAAGAACACGCTAGAGGAAATAGTAAAGGTAAGTAATAGTAAAACAGATCGGGTGCTGATTCAATCGATGTTCAAATCATCAGCCTTCAGTATAATTATGCGTTTTGTCACAAACTCTCATTTTTGGTCTCAGGCTATCAGTCTTTCCCTTGGAACTGGAAGAATGAAGAAAATAAGTAAAGAAGAAGCTCTATTGATTAAAGAACTTGAGGTAAATAGTAAATGACTTATAAGAGCTAAAATCATCTAATCAGTGACCGTGTATTATGAAATCACTCAACGATGTGCCATTAGGAATCAAAAAGAAATCGTTCTTGATCTACAAATTAGCCAGTGGCTAGTAACATGAGAACTGTGACTGGCCGGTTCCAAAACAGAATTGGAATTAGAGAATAATATTTTTCGAAACGCGGTACAAAATGAGGTGGGGTGGGGATGGGG